AAGGGAAAAGGGAAGAGGTTGGATTTTCCCGCCTTATATAGGGATCCCAGGAAGTGGTCCCAGGGCGTGATCCCACTGAGATAGGTGCTGCAGGTTTGAGTGGCTAGTTCCTCCTTCAGGAGAGGAGGTAAAGTACACACAGTACAGGGATTTCTGACACAGCCGCCCCCGGATTTGTGCTGCAAATACGCATTAGGTATCCATCAATTCAGGTAAAGGGATCAATCTGGAAACAGGGCATAGGTATTCTTGATCTTTGATCTTCATTGTGGCACTGCGAACCTTTCCATCCTTTCCATGGACGAAGTGACGAAGGAATGACGTTCAGAATTGATCGGCCAAGATCTGGCTGTGACGCCATCTCCTCCTGCTGAGAAGGTCACTCTTACAGTAGATGGCCTGAGGAAGGGAAGCGTCCGGCCGCCCCATGAGCAACACATTTCATGTCACTGGGTCAGGGTCAGCGAGGTCAGAGGAGACATATCCCAGAGGTTTTGAGTTCAGGATTCCCTCCACTTCCACTAGGACTGTGTGTAAGACGGCTTCTGATGTTGACTGAGTTCCCACAGCAGCACTGAGGGCTGTTTTGATGGACTTGATCTCCTGTTCCCAGCTCCCACCGAAGTGTGGGGCAGATGGAGGATTGAACTGGAAGTTCACTTGTGAGTGGCGAGCTGCCTTTGCACATCCGGTGGCATGGCCTGGAAAGCATTTTGTAGCTCTGCCTCTCCGGCTATGAAATTAGTCCCACAGTCAGACAGGAGTTCAAACGGTTTCCCTCTGCATGAGACAAATCTCCTGAAGGCCATGAGGAATGTGTCTGCATCCATATGGTCAAGCAGCTCGATGTTGATGCAGCGTGTAGTCAGGCATTTAAAGAGAATTCCCCACCTTTTCTCTGTCCAGCGGCCAATCCTCACTGTGAAAGGCCCAAAATAGTCCATACCTGTGGACCAAAAGGGAGGTTTGTAAAGTCTAAGACGGGCCGGAGGAAGATCTGCCATTTTGGGAATGACTGGATTGGCTCTCAATCTCTGGCAGTCCTGACACTGGTGTTGATGCTGCCGTATGGCAATATCCAGTACTTGTGTCTCATTTCTGCCAGGACACGCTCAGGGCTTGGATGGAGTAGTCTATCATCAAAGTGCTTGATAAGGAGTTTGGTGATTGGATGTTTTGGATCCAGTCTGATGGGATGGATATTGTCATGATCGAGGCCCTCTGCTCTCCGGAGCCAAACTCCCACTCTGATGAGTCCAAGATCAGGATCATATTCAGGAGACAGGGGGAGCAGTTGGCTGGTTTTCGATATGAGTCGACCATGTTTGAGGGAATTGAACTCCTCAGGGAAACTATACAATTGGGCTCTCTGCAGAAGATGTTTCTCAGAGTTTATGAAGCCCTGTGCCGTGTCTGCCGCCCCATGCAGCAGAGTTGTTGTTTCCATCAGTTCTTCCCAGCTGCTATGCTTGCTTAGGTCAGGGCTGTTTGCCTCACCTGACATCACTGTTCCACAGAATGCCACCTTCCTGAGCTCTTCAGCTGGTTCTGCTGTGACTGGCAGGCAGGGATTGGCGGACCAATCCTCAGTGGGCAGCAAGAGGAAAGCAGGACCTCTACTCCATCTTTTGTGCTGAGCGAGTTCTAGGAGGGTTTTGCCACGAGTCAGGTCGTCAGCTGGGTTGCTCTTTGGATCAACATATTTCCAGCTCTTTGTGTCAGTCAGGGTCTGAATCTCAGCCACTAGTGCCAACAAACACCTTGAAGCGACAGGAGTTGGAGGTGAACCATGACAGGACAGTTGTGGAATCTGTCCAGAGCGTGACTGAATGTAGTGGAATGGTAAGTTCAGAGCTGAGGAGGTTGGCCAGCTGGGCGCCGGAGAGGGCAGCGCATAGCTCAAGGCGAGGGATGGATAGTTGGCGCTTGGGGGCTATGCGGGACCTGGCCATGATGAAGCTGACGTGAATGTGGCCATGTTTGTCGGTGCTCTGTAGATAAGCAGCGGCACCATACACACGCTCTGAGGCATCACAGAAAACATGCAGGTGAGACTCTGAAGTGAGTGCACTGAGAGAGTGGGGCAGATAACAGGGAGGGAACAGAATATCAGGAAGGTTCTGTAGCTCCAACTCCCAGGCCTGCCATGTCTCCAGCAAGCCATTGGTTGGGATGATGTTGTCCCATCCTCGCTCCTGTTTCCATAGGTCTTGAACCAGGATCTTTGCTCGGGCTGTGAATGGGCTCAGAAAGCCTAGAGGATCATATTGGCTGGCCAGCACTTTGTAGATATTCCTCATTGTTGGCTGATAGTAGGGGACTAACCGATTCCTGTAACCCAGCATGTCTGTGGAGCAGTTCTATTGAAGGCCTAGTGTCAGCTCTTTGGAATCTCCATGTTCTGAGAGCCACATTTTGGTAGTTTTGGACTTGACCTCTAGAGGGAGATGTTGGACCACAGTTGGATCATTACTGGCCCATTGTCTGATGTCAAATCCTCCTTTTGCCAGCAGGGGCCTAATTTTGTCAATGAGGGACTTTGCTTCCTCAGAGGAAGGGATGCTCAGGAGGCAGTTGTCCACATAAAAGCACTGTTGGAAAGATTGAAGGACCTCCTCATTGCCCACAAGGTGATTTTGGGCATGTGTCTGAACTTCATAAGTTGTGCAGCATGGGCTACAGGTAGTTCCAAATGGCAGAACTTGCCATTCATAGACCCTGGGCTCCTGATCTAGTTGCATATCTCTCCATATGAAATGCAACAGGGGTTTGTCTTCATCCAGTTTCTCCGGCTCCTCTTGATACAAAGCAGACATTTTTGGGTCTTTGGACAGACGTCTCTCTGTGGCACAGAGACATGGCAGAACAACCTCCTTTGGGGCGTGAAAGACTGGGATGTTAGGAGCTCTGAGCAATGAGGTGGCATAGCGCATTACACTGTCTACTTTTACTCTTACCGTCTTAGACTGGAGTAGATTGAGAGCTAGCTTGTCTTGTTTTGACCTTGTGACAGTCTTCTCATTGATGTGGGGCAATGTGTTGACCTGCCAAAGTGTCTACATTCCTGAGCAATTCACTCTTGAAGCAGGTTAGACTGTAGGAGATGGACAGTTGCTGTGTGTGGGCAATACTAGCTGGCCCCTGGAGAGCCCATCCTAACCTGGTATATACTGCTAGTGGACCACCAGGGGGCCCCATAACCACTGGCTCTAGGGGGGTGATGAGATGTGCATAGTCTGAGCCGATAAGGACCAGGGGACGTGCGTGATCAATGGCTTGTAGTGGGATACCTTGGAGATGGGGGTACCGCTTTTGTAGTCATTTCAGGGGGTATGTGTGCTCAGACAGACCAAGGTTCTCTGTAGTGAATGCTCCAGTAATGGCATGCATTCTGTCTGGCTGGTTGATTGGGGAAATGCCAAATGACACAGATGCTCCATCCAATTGCACACCATCCTGTCTCACAGTGCATAGGGAGATAGTCTCAGGCTGGGTTTAAAGTTGTAGGCTCTGGACAGCCACGGGGAGCACAATAGAGCGGTCTGTGCCATCATCGAGGATTGCATGGGTTGCTAGAGTCCTTTCTCCATTGTGGAGACATACATTGACCACCTTGAGCATTACCTTGTGAGAGCGATTAGGTTGATCCATGTAGAGAAGCTTTGGAGAAGAGGACGCCACCATATGGTTGTTAGTGGTCTTGATAGTGTTAGTGTCATGGAGGATAGTCAGGTGGAGCTCCTTGCAGACATTACAGGGCTTCTTCAGTGTGCATTTGTCTGCCTTGTGCATTCTCCCACATCGGTGACACCGATCCTTCTCTTTGGTCCATTTCAACATGTCACTCTTAGGGAGTTTCTTAAACTCTTCACATCAACCCAGGGAGTGGTCTCTGATATTACAGTAGGGGCAGTAAGGCTTGGGGAGGTTGGCATTTACCTGGGTTTTGGTGGGAGGTTTTGGTGGGAGGTCTAGGTGTGACGACTGGCTGAGGCGCCGTAGACAGGTAAACAGTGGAACCCTGTTTGGCAGGTGGGTGTTCTCTGCCAGTGCGTGGCTTCTCATGTTTGTGGAGTTCAGCTCTTGACTTTGACTGAAGCCAAGTGGAAAGGTCTTGAATGGAGTAGGTTTGGTTTGCCTCCCCAGTCAGAATGCCACGGTTAACACAGTACTCTACAAATTCAAATTCAAATTCATTTTATTTGTATAGCACTTTTCATACATAGGAGTAGCACAAAGTGCTTTACAGAATGATAAGATAAGAATAAATAAAAATAAAACCCCTCCCTCCCACGCCCACACACAAATACACAATCACTTACACACGCACACCCACCCACCCACCCACCCACAAACATACACACACAGGACAGTGCTTGGTTGTTTTGCATTTCATCATGGCTTTGTACCGAGGGTCCCAAATGAGTCTCTATACTGTACAGGGAGCTTGCTGAGGAGACCATCAACATGAGAGCCACATTTTATCTCAGACCCATTGGGGCCTTCTAGGGACAGCAACATTCCCACCAGAGAATGAACAGATAGGGAGAAATTATCAAAGGCCTCTATGTCACCAACACATATGACGGGGGTGTTCAGTATAGCCGCTATCTCACTCTGCACTAGTAATCTGGGTTGGCCATACCTTTCCTGAAGTGCTTTGAGGGCAGTGGAATATGGTCTTGGGTCATGCATACTGGACGCTGCTAGTTTACGAGCTTCTGGGTGCTGAACATGCTCCAAGAGGATCTGGTATTTATACTGCTCAGTGAGATGGGGGGCGATTGTCAAGTAGATTATCCAGGGCCATCTTCAGAAGGGCAAATTCACTCTCACGTCCACTCTTGAATACAGGGAGTGCAGGCTTTGGGATGCCGTAAAAAGAGGCTATAACCAAATCCATAATACCGGGGGTCTGGACCTGTGGAGCCTGTGGGTAAGCTGGGAGCTGCCGAGCTGATATAGCTGGCACTGGGGGTGGAGCTACATGACTAGGATGACTAGGAAAGGATGAGGGCCCTATCTGGGGTAAAACATGGTGACTGGGAAAGGCGGCTTGGGCCGACACTTGGGGATTGGACCACGTGACCAATGTGGAAGGGTTGGAGGGTAAAGGAGGTGCCTGAACAGGGATTGGTGGATCCACTGAGACTAAGGGCCAAGAGGGGACCTGAAGAGGGGCTGAGCTTGGCTGGGTTGAAGACATGGGAAGTGGAGCTGAAAGAGGAACAGGGAGTGATGCTTGAGGCATGGAGAACTGCACTAAATGGGACATGGGAGGCTGAGTTGTCTGTAGCCTGGAGAGTTGGGCTGATTGAGGCTGAAGATATCAAGCTGGCTGGGAAGTAAGTGGCTGAGTTGGGTGCATGATGATTGGAGCTGGCTGAGGAATTGGCAGCTGAGTTTGGGGCATAACTGGCGGAGCTGGCTGCAAAATGGTAGGATGGATATGAGGCATAGGGAATGGGGCTTGAGACATAGAGGGTGAGGCTTGAGGTAGCGAGAATTGAACTGACTGGGTCATCATCCTTAAAGGGGCAGGAGTGCCTATCCTGGATAAAGGGAGATCATAAAAAAACAAATCGGCTACATCTCCATGAGGAGATGAGGGCATAGGAGCAGATCTACCAGAGTCATCGTCAGAGGGTCCAGTATTCTGTATGGTGAAACTGGTAATGAGCTTGGCTGACTCTAGCTCCTGCTCCTTGAAACGGATACGTCTATCCATTTCTGTCTGTCTAATAAGTCTCTCTCTCTCCCTATGTGCTTCTTCCTACGCTCTCTGGGCCTCTCTAGCTGTCTTATCGATCAATGCACATTTCTCATCCAATTCTTCGTCCTTCTGTCTTCGTCTCCTCAGCCTTTCCAACTCATCTCACTTTCCCTTTTCATCAAGAATGCAGTGCTGGGTTTTACTCAACCTCCGCGACCTGGAAGTATGACTGCTGCTTGACCTATGGCTATGCCTACTAATCTGATGGCTTGTAAACTGGTTAGGGGCTGACTGGGGGTAACAGGTTCCCTTGCTCCGGGAACTGCAGGTGCCAAGAGACCATGCAGAAGGTGCATATGATGGGGGGTAACCATAGCAGTCAGGGGTGGCTTGGATTTGGCCCCTAGGTCAAGGCTGGTATCGGGTGGAAGGGACTCAGTAGGGAAATCAACTTTGCCCTCTGTGTCAGGGGCAGGGTGAACGTTTGGTGGCCCAGGGGGATGGTCAGCTTTCTGGTGGTGCTCATCTGGTGGCAAGCTCAATGGTAGGTCAGGCTCTGTTAGAGATGTTTGTGAGGAGATAAGTGGGTCTACATCCGCTTCAGGATGAGCAGCTCTGGCTGTGTCGGTTCCTCCTTTGGCGCCAACAGTACCGTTGCTGGGAAGGAGGTTAAGGTCATCCTCCATCTCAATAGTGCTGATGAAACACTTGAACTCGCTGTGCAATCGCTAGGTGGCTACTTGGCTTTGTTTTGGGCAATCAGCCGTTTTGGTCACTGGTGGGTGTGGCTCACCCTCCGGCTCTAAGGACCATTTGTTGGTTATAAAGTTCAAACTGGAGCCACACACCACCAGGAAACAGTTTCTGCATTGAGGGTTTTTTATTTTTCTCAAATTCCCAAAGTAAAAGTTGCCGTACACATGGTTCTAGACAAGAACAGAAAATAGGTTTCAGTAACTATGTTAAAATAAAGTATCAATACCATCACCATCAATAGAAATATGGATATCAAAGATGACTGGTCAATCATCAATAATCAGTGATCAAGATAATTAATAGCATTATCTATCAAAGTATATCAAATCAGATGAAGGTCTAATCTCTACAGGTTCAAATACATTATCACATCATATATTAGCAGTCAGGTTAACTTACATGGTTGTGGACTCAACCAACACATGGCAGCATGGCAGTTTGGTTGAGAACAAAGGGAAAAGGGAAGAGGTTGGATTTTCCCGCCTTATATAGGGATCCCAGGAAGTGGGCGTGATCCCACTGAGACAGGTGCTGCAGGTTTGAGTGGCTAGTTCCTCCTTCAGGAGAGGAGGTGAAGTACACGCAGTACAGGGATTTCTGACAAACTTCTTATCACTTTTATTCATAACTTTAACAGAAATCAACTCTGCAACACAGACACATGCTCAGCTCTAGCTCTCGGCTGCCTGAAAGTAAACACACTGACACTTCCTCTTTTTCTAGCTACATCTCTATCGGTCACAACACTCCTCCTCTTAGAACTTTTGAGTTGTTTATACCCCTGACTCATGGGCACCATCTAACGGTGTAAACCACTCACAACATGCAGCAACACACTGATTTAAGAACTCAAAAACTCAAAACTTGTGTTGCTAATGCATAAATTAATTTTAATTTAATTTGTAATATTGATTAATATGAGTTTATATAATTGCCTTGATTTTAGTTAGAGTAGTACACATAAATGTCATAAATGCAATGGTACTACTAACTGGCATAATAATTTCTTTCAATGTTTCAGTTTTCGGCCATGTTAATTTTTCGTTTTGGCCAAGAGTACAACACCAAGATGGGTGACATGGACTTGTCAGACAGGATAATAAACTACATCAGAAGGAGCGTCTGAACCAGAAAGTAGACTATTTGCATGCTGATGCACTTCATTATGTGCCTGCCAAGTCGAGCCTTGCGAGCAAGGCATGCACATATGGTTATCGTCCAGGCAGGCTCAGTAATGGGGGTGTGTTGCAGGGCATACACCCCTGAAATGGGGAGGGAGTGATGAAAAAACTGAACAAAAGAATGCCCCCCAAAATTCTCCATTAGTGTGTATTGCATGCCAAGGCGTATATTAGTATCCTAGACGGCGGGTGTATGTTTTTTATTATTATAGACGCACCTTTGGCAATTAATGCGGCCCGAATGGTAAGGTGCATCCAGGCATGGCACATATCAAAACGTGTGTCTCCATCGTGCAATGGTGGGTATTACTTTTCTCTATCATTACTGTTTCCATGGTGACACTAGACGCCAAAAAGCAGTGACAATTTTCCCATGTAAGCAGATGGGAGAGGGTGAGAAAAAAGTCGATTTTTTGCAAGACTTTGACGCCTCAACCTGTTGCCATACTTTGACGTAGAAGCGTGATTAAAACATCGCTGACACTGGACCTTTGATTTCAAAAGTGTAGACGGCTCGTCGATATCTGGTACGGTTGGCCACAGTAACTGTTCAAGCGAGGGGTGCAAACGAGGATTTTCTGTTTTTTAGAGTGATGACTCATCATTTTAGAGTGAAGAGAGGTGAACCTGTAATCCCAATTTTTAATTTCTAAATCGCTGCCACGGCCACAATTTTCACTCAACACACACAAATTATACATCAAACATAGGGAATCTACCAGCTGGACAGAAAATGTGGACCTTGAAGCCGTGAGATGCTCACTTTTCAAGCTACAGGTTTTGTAGGTACCTGTTTCACCTCCATTCACCGCCATTCAAAAAGAACACAAATGTTCCACGTCCGACTGTTGCTAATTTTCTCTGAACAACTCATGCTCCCGTCTAAACCATACAGCGTAGCAACTTGTTTTGTAACTGTTTTGCAGCATTTTACATGGGCAAACAGGTGTTGAAGACTGTCCCTAAAATAACAAAAAGTAAAAAAATTATTGGGTAATTTCTGATATTAATTGCACTTTTGATATTTTGTATAGCCATATTTAGGTCTTAAAATATACTGTTTAACATAGGCCTCTTGGCTGCTTCTCTCACCTGGGGTCTGTTCTACGAAGCAGGATTACTGCTTAGCGAGATAACTTCGAGGGTAAGTTCGGGGTTTCCTGTTCTACGACGCGGGTTCACTTCTTAGCGAGGCGAGTCTCCATGGCAACATACGCTGAACGGCTAACCTGCTCCGGGGCAGGTTAAGTTCCAGATCGAACTCACCGAGTATAAAAACCCCGCCCACTGACCAATGAGCTCTCTCGAAAAACAGCTTGTCCGTTCTTGGAGGATCCTATAGACCTCTGTGCTCGCATTGTCCGAGGAGGAGCACTCCGGCGCGCGAGAGTTTACAGGGACTGCATGGACCCACTTACTTTTCCGGATGACCACCTTTATGAAAGGCTCATATGGCCGACATATCACACAAAACATGTAAACACGATAGGAATGAACAAATGAATGATTCATCTTGGGAATGAATGGGCATGAGCTGCATGGGCTGTGTGATCAAAGGCAACATCTTGGTACTATTTAGTAGCAGCGCACGCCCCTTATAATAACCCCCGTAAATACTGTTGTTCAGGACTGCTTACTTGTGCTTCCCACCTACTGTAACAACCATTGTTCTAGCCCACATGCAACATTTTTGTTCTCATTCATGAAACGCTTAAATCAGGGACATTTTCGGGGACAGCTTTAGCCGGGGACAGATCATCCAATTCGGGGACTGTCACCTTAGTTAAAAGCGCATGTTGAACAGTGCTATTTCAGGGTGATAATGGCATCAAAGATGCATTTTCTGCCAGCGTTCCCTCCGTGCTTTTGCAGCGGCGACGGTGTTGCTTTTGAGGTTTATGGTAGCTTTGAATTCTTCATACTTTCTCATGATCGTCTCCTGCTCCTCGTTTGTAAAGTACGCAGCCCTTCACTCTCTAGCCTGCTCTGACGCTCCAGCAAAGCTGGATCCACTTATGAGGTTGATAACCAGCGTCGTAAAACTGCTTAGCGAGACCGCTGGCTACCGCGCTAAATTGAGCAATCTAGCTCCAAGGCTACCTCGCTAAGTTGAACTTGCTTCGTAGAACAGGCCCCAGTGCTCTCCTTGCTCGGTCTGTCCGTTTAGGTGGATGGCCATGTCTTGGTAGGTTAGCAGTTGTGGCATACTTCTTACATTTTTGGATGATGGATTGAACAGTGCTCCTTTAGGTGTTCAAAGATTTGGATATGTTTTTATAACCTAACCCTGCTTTAAACTTCTCCACAACTCTTTCCCTGACCTGTCTAATGAGTTCCTTGATATTCATGATGCTCTTTGTTGACTAGTGCTCTCTAACAAAGAACTGAGGCCTTTACAGAACAGTTGTGTTTATGCTGATACTAAATTATACACAGGTGGACTCTATTAACTAATTAGAGGACTGAGTGCCCTGAGAGTGGCAGCAAGTCACAGCAGCTTACGTTTTTGCCTTTTTATTGTTGTTTTTTGCACCTTATTTGTCTTTCTCTTTGTTGCAGTGTTGTGTTTTGCATATTCCAACCATGGATGTGCATTTCATGACTCTAGCACTTGTTTTCTTCTAATTTTCTGAGTTTTTAAGTCCGCGTCTGGTGAGCCGTTCAGCGGCTCTATTGTTTACAGCGGTGAACAGCTGTTGGCGCTGCACCAAGCTCGGCCACCTTCGTGGGAGAACCCCGACATCCCCGCCAAACTCCGCAGGAGAAGAAGAGGATTTAGAGCCGGAGTTCAGCATCTGGCAAAGTGGAGACGTTTTAAGCCAACTGTCCTGTCCATCATTATGGGAAATGTGAGGTCTTTCCCCAACAAGATGGAAGAGCTCACAGGGCTGACTCGGCTGCAGTGGGAGTACCGCCAGTGCAACCTCATGATGTTCACGGAGTCATGGCTGAACGAACTCACTCCGTCCCGCTCGTAACTTTGGATGGATTTTACCTCGTCAGAGCAGACCGGAGGGTGAGGGAGAGTGGTAAGAAGAAAGGAGGCGGGATAGCAGTGTATGTAAATGAGAGATGGTGTAATGCTTGGCACGTCAGTGTTAAAGAGCAGCTCTGCTCTAAGGACATTGAGCTGCTGGCTGTGAGTTTGCGGCCATATTACCTGCCGAGGGAGTTTCCGCACGTCATCGCGTTAACTGTTTACATCCCCCCTCGGCTGATGCTGCTGCAGCCTGTGAACTCCTCCATAGTGAAGTGTCCAAGCTACAAACATCACACCCTCAGTCTCTGATCATCATCTCTGGAGACTTTAAGCATGCATCGCTCTCCTCCACTCTCCCTACTTTCAGCCAGTATGTGGAATGCCCAACAAGAGACAATAAAACTTTGGACTAACTGTATGCAAACACCAAGGATGCATACACTTCCTCCCCCCTCCGGGCCGCTCAGATCACAACCTGGTGAGACTGCAGCCCATTTACATACCTATGGTGAAGAAACAAGCCCCCACCATCAGGTATGTTAAGAGGTGGTATGAGGAGGCCACTGAGGCGCTGCAGGACTGTTTCGAGACCACAGACTGGGATGTACTGTGCGGCCCACATGGTGATGACACTGACACCATGACAGATTGTATCACGGACTATATAAACTTCTGTGTTGAGAACACTGTACCCACCAGGAAAGTACAGTGTTTCTCCAACAGCAAACTTTGGGTGACCCCTGAACTTAAAGTCCTCCTGAAGGAGAAG